GTGAACACCTCCACAACGTTTAAGGGTTCCCTATACCGATCCCATCCACCGGCGACGATAATTCGGCCCCGAAATTGTGTGGTTGCTAGCGCGCATCGTGCAGTTCTCATAGGGGCTGCCGCCCGCCAAAAGTCCACGGTAGCCGCTGACGCCACCTCCTCCTCCCAGTCTGCTCCCAGCTGGCAGAACTCTACTGAAACAAGGCGCCGGAAGGAGTCATCTCTACCGCCAAAAACGAAGATCCGACTGTCATCAGTCAGGCAGGCAGCAGCTGGCGCATTCCTTACCTCTCGCATATTGGGCAGTTCACACCATCTTTTGGTGATGAAGAGGAAGATAAATGTGAAACGAGGAAGAAAAGTGGCTGGGTAGATAAAAACGAGAAACGAGAATGCGTCACACACAAGGAATATCATTTCTCACCTGTCTCGACTGACGTCGTAGATTTACCAGGAAGAAAGGCAGCCTTCTTCATCATGTCCACCGAAAACGCCGAGCAGTGCCTTCCTTCCATCCGCCTTCAGGACTGCAGCTGCGTGCTCCCAGCGTCCAAATGCGAGGGGAGCTCGCTCACACCAACGTCCTTCTCTCACCAGAAATTCTGAGACGCTCGTTGCGTAGTCCTCCTCCGCCGTCTGTCCTCCAATCATAAAAATACTCTCTTCTCTCAGAGGGAATGGAAAAGAGAACACGGGAAGAGGAAAACAACCCGATTGTCAGATCGGCTGGTAAAAGAAATGGGAATAGCAGTCGAAAAACGGCAAAGGAATAACTACTTAGTTCAGAAGAGTTCAGTAAATTAAGGGTAATAGACAATGCCTTTTATGACCCTCCTGAAGATGGTATGCAAATATAGCCAACGTAAGATACATAAAATTAATATGTTACCATGAGATAGTGAGTAACATATATACATGTACAAATCTTAGCAGCAAAATTTACGCATACTCGTTCTGTATTTCGTATATAAAGCTGTTAAATAAATGTCGAATAAGAGTATGTAGTGTTATTTCTAGCATAAAAAATAATCAACAAACGTAGCTGTCCAAATCAGGACAAAAACCGGGATGAATATATTTCCTAGTTGAGTGGCCGGTATCGACGAACAAAAAACAGCATGCAAATGGGGACTGTAAGACAATAAAAGTGTGTTTTAAATGGATATACATAGGAAGCCTCAAAATCGACACCTGCTGCAAGTCTGTGCATCATGTAAACACATTTCTAACGAAGAATTATTGTACCGTACTCCTGCGAAAATGCACGCATAAAATTTTCAAATTGAACCCACAAGATGATAAACGATAAAGGAGACATTCGCAACTGGGAGGCGACTCACCACCCACCGCACTGTAGGAGGCGTATTCTCGCTTCTCCATGTCAGTGACTAGGTGTCCTTTTTGAAGTTGCTCATTGAAACGCAGGATGGACAACCTGTTCTGACTTCTGTCCTCTCCAAAGACCAAGAAGTGTACCGGAGATGGTCTTAAGTGTCGGTTGAATGGACGCGGAGGCTTTTCATTTTCCGCAAAGCACATCCACTGCTCAACCTGAAGCATAAACCGACTTTCATAAGAAAGTTATTTCAAGGTCGAATGACATATACTTACGGACATTCATTGCTTGTCTTCAACATTTGATAGTTATCCACCAGGTCTTTTCGGAATTGGAGAGTCGTCTGGCACCAACGAACCTCTTTCAACATCGCCACTGTGTGGGACGCCAGCCTCTTTTGATCGACGTCGTTGTGGGCAAATACCCAACTAGAAATGGCCGTCACAACGTCTTCCTCAGAGGCAACTGCCAGATCATCCTCTCTAAGCACACTTAGCACAGTCTCCGCTGGTAGGCGGGCAAAGAGGTCACTATGGACGAAACACTGGAACTGCGCTTGCATCACATCGATGCAAGATTCCATCAATGATCCAATCTTTAAAGAACGGGAGAAATTCCATATAGTTGCAAGGTTTTCTAAAGTGACTCTTAATGGCGGGTAGATAGAGAGGAATGATGGCGAAATATTTACCTGGCAGCCATAAACTTGGCTCCACCTTTCTCAAGGACACGAAGCTTCTGGCAAACATGACCATGGCCATCACATTCGCCTTTGTCAGCTCTATTTGTCCAGTGTATGCATAACTGATGAGGGAATTTGCGAGCCTAGAATGCTCATTAACAACAAACAAACGGGAAACTTACGACAGAGGCAGTGTGGGCCATTTCAGGGTCCCATTCTCTTCCCCGCATGCGACCTTGAGAGAGGTTCGCAAGGAGGGAATGCGAGCTGCCATTATTATTTTGTGTGCATGAAGTACAGCGCCATACTTCGCCTAACACGCACACAAATGTTCGGGTAACGAGCAGTAAGCGCAAACCAAATTACTTCTATTTTTAGGTCTTTGATTTCCTCCTCCAGTCGAATTTCGTTTAATTCAGGACAGCTCCGTACCAAAGGGGATTTGTCCTCAAAGAGTTCTGATTCCTCGGGAGACATTTTTGTAAGTGATTAGAGTAGAATAGCCAGCGGCATTTTGTTTTTGCCATAACATTTGTCGCGCGCACGCAAGCACTCACGATCAGTAGATGCTGACTGGAAGATGACGTCCCACACCGAGTGAGTTCGGGTGGTAATTGGCGGGGCTTCGAATGCGAATGGTTAAGCGAGAGATTCCATTGGCAAGAAGATGCTATTGGCGAATACTGAGTGCCAAAGAGACTCAAGTGTGCCTTATCAGGAACAAGAAAACTGCGCAGGCGTGAATGGAATTATATTCAATAGGTTTGATCTTGTTTCGATGATAACAGTATGGAAACCAAGATAGTCAGTGAGAAGGGAGCTCGTTTGAAAGGCAGACGTGGATTTGACAAGATCTGCCTGATTAACAGTTGAACCGTACCTTATTTGCTAAACAAACCAGATGAATCGTCTTCGTAATACAATCACGATATTATACGCTACGTGCCATAAGAGGACTATATACATGCTATGGTCCAGACAAGTCAGTCTGTGCTCCAAGATCAACTGTCGAATTCAAAATCAGAGAAACCTTCAGGAATCTCAGAAAATTACACACTAACACAAACGAACAGTATAGTTTTTTCGTAGCAGCCTTAGCCTACGTCTGTCAAACTGTTAGAACAGGTCGTGAGATATCAGAGATCGTACAATGCTAGTCAGTTAAGGGACAGTTAGACTCAACTATGGAATGTGTCTGAATCAACGAAAAATCGCCAACCAATCTGAAACCAGTCCAAAAATATCCCAGATTTACACAACTATCAGTATGTTTGTTTTACCCACACTCAGGATATCCTGAGGTGGAGCCATATATGCAGGGCCATCTAGCTATGTTTATTTATACATTGCCAGCTTACGGGCGAGGTCCAAACAGCTGTGGAGTAGATGATCGAGCTAGCATTGTAAAAAACTCACGATCATTTTTTCAGTGTTCTTTTACGAGAACAAACGGCAGCTCGTAGAATGCCTGAAATTCGGGACGGGAAAGTGTTGACAGTGGTGCACGATGTGATCCATCCCCCTTCAGTGTTACGGTTCCGGTATTCTGCACCAGGTAAACGTGTGTCAGTTAACGGTTGTTGGATTTCGGCTGAAGAATTAACGGGTTGTGGACTGCAGAGTCAACGCAATTGCCCTCAACGTGAAGCCTGGCATTGATTTCAAAGTCCAAAAACGCCATCAAAACGGAACTGAGATCCCACCGCGTCAGCACCCAAACTTCGTGAAAGCTGTCCTAAATGTACAAAACCATTGACAGCTCTCTTAAACAAAGGATATTTTCGCTGAATTTTGATCCTCCTGGGTAGCTTATGCCAGATTGCTATGGCGTTTACTGAAAAAAACTGATGATATCTAACACTTCGTACCAAAAGAAGAAATAAAAAGACTTACGCACCGAGAGTGATCGAGCTGACTTTGAGTACTAAGGGGACTAAGGGGACCACTGTTAAGACGCGTAAGCAGTAAAAATAGTCCCTCCTGTAATCTGCGGAGCCACAACGGATCAGGGTTAGTAAGCTCACAACTTTATTGTTAGGAAAGGTTATGGTGTTCTGAAGAGAAAGCATTTTCAGTAATAACGAGGCCCTCCGGTCCTAAAATACAAAATTTATTCATTAGAAGAAGTGCTGGACTGATCCTATGTTCTTCCGTTCGCTAGCACGCAGAAGGATAAATAGAAGCGAGCAGTAGTTCAGACTAGGTCTAACGTACATTTTATAAAGGTTGGTTCTTACATTGATTGTTCTAAGATTTCTGACAAGAATTGGGGTACTTCGGCGTGCTTCCAAGAAAATAATTCAATATGTTTTCTTACATTTAAGACCCAGACTGCTTCATCAGTACAATCAGAGCGCAGTGCTCTGCCTTATGAATACTATTCGAATATTATTTGCCCAGATCGTTAGTAACTATGGGCGAATTTAGGTCGCGATCCTCCATGCTTAGTTGAGGCTAATGATCGTGAACCACTATGGTAGCGACACGTTTTTGCATAGAAAAGGAAATGCGCCATGTGCAGTACCACGGGGCAAGGGCCTGAAGATCTTTTTTTAATTCTCTGAGTTCTTTGAGACCAAGAGAAGTTTTTTCATTGGCCTAAGATTGTCACGTAGATTGGACGTATTTCGAGCCTCATGATATGTCTCTTCAACGTTCTTGCGTAAGACTGCGTGCGCCAGATGTGGTGATATGGATGTGAATAACGAAGTCATATCGAAGGAGATCATGATTTCCTCCGATTGGATCGTCCGACTTCGAAGGAGGATCTTATGTAACTTCCACAATTTGCGTGTTTGGGAAGGCAACAGACAAAAGTGACTTTGGGTGATCGAGTAGAACCAAGAAAGACAAGAGACAGTGGAATGGCCATGTCATCGCCGTCATCTACTAGTCATAAAAAATCCCGATTATTTTTCATTACCAAATCACTGAACGTCCTACAATTTATGAAGTTATATTTTCGGAAGTTAAATAGTTACGTAATTTAGTTTGACTTCTTCTTTCTGCAAGTACAGTTATGTGTTCTAAGTTTTTGGCGGATAGATCAGTATCAGTATCGGTTTATTGAGGGAAAGATAGGCGAATGCCTTTGAACTCCCTGTTGGTAACAGGATGATATTAAATAAGTCAATATAAGGAAAAGTTTAAAATTTACGATAGTTACATGTTCCGGGAAGACAATCTTCACAAAATTATGACAGAAAAATACAGAAAAATATATGACTACTGGCAAATCGCGAGTAGTATAATTTGATGCAGTGTATGTGATAAGCAATTTCATTCATTTTTAAGTGATTCATTGTAATGTGATAAAGGAGTTTTTACCTTCATTGCGTTTGCACTTGATACATGTCCAGTCTACTC